GTTGTTGTCTTGTGTCCCATTATGTGATCGATCCTGGAGAATGATCCATGTGTGCTTGAGAAAAATGTGTACTCAGATGTTTTTGGGTGTAGTGTTCTATAGATGTCTGTTAAGCCCATGAGGTCTAGATCCTTATTTAGAGCTTTAGTGTCCTTACTTATTTTTTGTCTTGTTGATCTAGCCATTGTTGATAATGGTGTGTTGAAGCCTCCTACTGCATATGTATTTTCTCTGATGTCTGTTTTTAGAGATGATAGTAGTTGTCTGATATATTTTGGTGCACTTTCATTTGGTGAGTATATGTTAATGAGTGTTATGTCTTCTTGATGTATTGTCTCTTGATCATAATGTAGTGACTGTCTGGGTCTCTTTTTACCTTTTTGAGTTTGAAATATGTTTTATCTGATATAGGTATAGCTGTTCCTGCCTTCTTTTTTGGTCTATTTGCTTGTAGGATTTTCCATCCTTTCAGTCTATTTTTACCTTTTGCCGTTAAATGTGTTTCCTGGAGACAGCAAAAGGTTGGGTTGTGTCTCTTTAAAATAAAGACACAGACATAAAAAGAAGAGTTTAATCCATTTACATTTAGAGTGAATATTGATACATTAGCATCTGTATTTGACATTTTGTTTGTCTTTTCTGTGGTTTTATTTTTTTGTCTTCTTTTGTTCTTATTCATCCCCCTGTTGGTTCTGGCTTTAGGAATCCTTGTAGTATTTTTTTGGGGTGGGGCTTTAGTCGTAATGAAATTCCAGAGTTTCTGTTTGTCTGGGAAGGTCCTTATTCTTTCTTCATAGAAGAAGGAAAGCTTTGTGGGATAGAGTATTCTTGGTTTGCATTTGTTGTGGTGGAGTTTTTTGACTATGTCCCACCACTCTCTCCTTGCCCATAGTCAGCCTCATTAGTTTTCCTTTGTATGTTATCTGTTTCTTCCCTCTTGTCATCTTCATTATTTTTTCCTTATCTTAGATTCTTGGGAGCTTTACTATTATGTGTCTTGCTGTATTTTTCTTTTCATCATGAAGTTTAGTGTTCTTCTTGCTTCTTGTATGTCTATTTTCATCTCCTTCATATTTGGGAAGTTCTCTTCAATTATTTCCTTGAATATTTTCTTTGTTCCTATGTCTCTCTCCTTTTCTTCTGGGATTCCTATAACATATTTCCTTTCCTGATGGAGTCAGATAGTTCCCAAAGTCTTTCTTTGGTCTTTTTTCTTCGTACTTCTCTTTCCTTTTCTGTTTTGGTTCTTTTTATTTCTGTGTCTTCAAGAGTACTTATTTGTTCTTCCATTTCATCTATTCTGCTATCACTGCTTTTCCCAGAGTTCTTTAGCTCCTCCATTAATCCTTTGATTTCCTGCATTTCTTTCACTTCCCTCTTTAGGGATTCAGTTTCATTCTTCTGATCCTTGATTATTTTTCCCCTATCATTTTTGACTTCTTTCACTATTTTAATCATGGTGATTTTAAATTCTCTATTGGGAAGGCTCAGAAGTTCTTGGAAGTCACTGTTGTTGGAATTTGGTGGTTGATTTTCTTTTAGTGGTGTATCTTTTCCCTGAGGACTTTCTTGGTTATTTGTAATTTTTTTTTCTCCCTGTTACTTGTTTTCCAATTTGTCCTATGCTTTGGGACACTATGTTGCTGCTGGTTTTGACCGGCATCTCTTTGGTGCACTCCTTCTGGGATGTGGGAAACTCGAGGCACAGTCAGGTCTAACACTGTTAACGCCAGAATTCTATTAGAGCAGTGGTACTGTGGATATGTTAATGGGCACCATCCCTGAAAATCCACTCCCTCTGTATTTACTTAATTCCAGAGGGAGGTCTTGAGGTCCCATAGTCTGCCCTGGCAGTGTCTGGATCACCCCTGGGCACCTAATCGCTGGATCCCCTTCTTAGCTCTGACTCGCAGCCAGACGTGTGGCTTGGCTTATGCGCACTTTTCAGCTCTCCTCTGTCTGTGGGGATAGCCCTTTCTCAGACCCATACAGTTTTGGTGAGGTCCTGACGCAAAGCTCCCTGCCTTGAAGATGGCGCATCTGGGAGGTACTTCCCTACCCCTTCGGTCTGCCCCAGCAGTGGCTAGATCGCCTGCCCCCTGGGCTCCAAATTGCTGGATTCCCCCTCTGAGCTCCAACTCGCAGCCAGATGTGGGGCACGAGAAAGTATTTCTGAGGTGCTCAATGGTCATCTGTCCTACCCCAGATAGTGTCCATGGTGTCTGTAGTCCAAATCAAAAACTCTTTGCGAAAGATGGCATTTTCACTCTCATGAGACTCTGGAGCTGTTGGCACTGATAAGCAGTAAACCAGGACTCAACATGCTATGGCAGCTAGAGGTGATCACCACTGGTGCTGCTGAAGGCAGCACCAAGGCAGCAGTGGCAATCAGTGACAGTCAGGAGATAGTGTTGACTGCAGCTCTAGAGGCAGTGCCAGCGGGATAGGCAGCAACTTGTGACAACTGTAAAGCTGGTGCCAAAGAAGGCAAGTGGTGCCAGAGGTAGGCAGCAGTGATCAGGAGGTAAAGGTAGCACTGGCAGTGATATGCAGCACTGGAGAAGGGAGGTATTCAATGATCAAAAGTGTAAGTTGGAGATCAGATGGTAAAAACCAAAAGGTTGTCCCAGGAGAGAGTCCCAAATCCATCAGCTGCCCTAGCTTTTAAGATTTTCAGAGTCTCTTTGTTCCTCTCCTCCTACCAGTCCCTGAGAAGAAGAATAGTTAAAATTACAGGTTCTATGTGTGTGTACTTGGCATTGCCACTTGGTAGGGAAGAGGTTCCAGGGATGGTGCCACTTGGCTGCTGGACCCAGCTCAGCTAGGTGTCAGTAGAGGTGTAGTGAGCCAAACAGCTGTCATATCCTACCCACATTTGTGTGACTGTCAAACCCAACCTGTGCTTGAGCTGAGGGGGTGTTGTGGAGCAGACATGGCTCCACCATGCCCAAAGCAAGTTAGCTGAATACAATGAGGGGTGGGGGGCACAATGGAGCCAAGGCAAGCTGTGCTGTACCACCAAACCAAGAACTGCTGAGCACCTCTTAAAATTTCCCCATTTTCAATTCTCAGCACAGTTTCTATGGTGATAAAAAGAAGATATCAGGATATTGGGCTGTGGCCTCAGAACGCTACTTAGAGGGTTGGTGTAAGGCTATAGTCATGGAATTCAAATGTGTTCTAAACCTGTTGGAATGACCATACTCAGGTGGAGGCATGAGTTCAGTATGGCAATAAGTCATAACCCTTGCTGCAGGCAGCAAAGGCAGCCCAACCACAGGAAACCCGCTCCCAGGAGGACCATGTGTTACCTCTGGATTAGATCAGAGTCATCCAAGAAACCAAGCACTCAGAGCACCCACTTGGTCCTGTGGTCCTGAGACCTCAGCTCAAGTCTGCTTCCAGCCTCCTGTAGCATAAACATAAGAGACACCACAGTCAGTCTGAGCATCATCAGCTACCCTTGTTCCGTACTCACAGGAGCAACCTTTTGAATGAGCCCCTTTGTCCAGGTCCATTGACACTGTCTGATTGGGGTCTTTGCTTTAGTGTCAAATCTGATCCATGGCAGGGCAGCTGTGGCCATAGGTGGCACAGCAAGCCTATGCACCCAAACCAAGTACAGCTCATGTAAATGCCAAGGGGGTCTAACTGCTTCCAAACTAATTTAGTCAGGCACAGAGTGGGGTGTGGGGTGGAAAGGAGTTCTGTATCACAGCCAAGCAGGGCTCTGCCATACTCCTAACGAAGAGCAGCAGAGCTCCTCTGACGCAAACTTCACTCTTCCTAAAAATCAGATTTTGAACTTTCTGAATCTCATTGATTTTCAGACTTTTACTCTCCCTTCACTACTTGGTTTCACTAAGAGACTTACCATTTTAGTAGTGGTGGTATACACCGGACTAACGGGTACAGTTCCTCCCTCATTGAGCTCCTCTGCAGTAGGAGATAATAAAGTTCTTGAGGGCCTCCCCGGTGGCGCAGTGCTTGAGCGCTGGGTTGCGAAGATGCCGGCACGCAGCCTCTGCAGCACCAGTTTGATCCCCAGCCACCCGGTGAGGGTCCCACGTGGCATGCAGACCTCTCCTGCCACCCACTGCTCCCCTCAGCAGTGAGCTTTGTCACTCTGCCTGCTCTGCCCTCTGCTCTGAATCTGGTTAATTCTCTCACCCTCACGTGCTTCTGACCGTACCCAGTGCTTGTATAAATAAAATAAATAAATCTTAAAAAAAAAATAAAGTTCTTGAACTTAGCGAATGGATCACGATTACACTTCCTGTCCATTGGATAGTTCAGCTTCTCTCTCCCTCTCCCGCCACCGCCCCACCACGCCAGCTTTACACGTAGACCTGAGAACATTTGAAAGAGAAGTGGTCTCTAAGATGCAGGCCAGGTCTGTAAACTTCTTGTCCAAAGTCAATTCTATGCCTTTCACTTTCTGCTTAATTCTGACACCTGTTACCGGCTAAGGATTTCAGAAGTCCAGTGTGGGTTCCCAGAATTTTCCTGTTCTTGGTGCCCTTGGTGTCTGGTTTGGTTTGGTCAGTTGGTTGGATTGTTTTTTTCCCCGGTATCTCAAGGCGAAGAGAAAATATCTGACAGTTCCAGATTTACTGTGCCTGTATGGGTTTGGTATGGGGCCAGCACACAGTGTCCAAACATACAGTGTAAGGACCCCGTAGAAATGCAACTAGGACATGTGTATCCCCATTTCCTTTGTCAGTTTTAATGCTAATAGTGATTTTTTGGGGATAAGATTGAAGTGTTTGTGGGTTGCAGTTAGCATAGGCAGGAGTTCCTGCGTAATTTATAGCAATTAACGCTGTTTTCAATGTTAGTCTCTCTAAAGTGAGATATTTTTTTAAACTTCCAGTTGATCACTGCAGTTAAGTGGCTTAACTTCTGGTTAAACTTGCCGAAAACTTGTCTGGTTAAACTTGTCTGGTTAAACTTGTCAGCGTCTTGTAATTACATGTAATGTCCAATCTTTTCCATTCCAGGGTTAACTCATGAAGTTTTGCCTCCTGTGTAATCAAGAATGGAAACTTCTGCAAACACAGCGGAATGTGAAAAGCTCTCTTATGGAAAGGCAAAAGCATCAATAGGTACAGAAACAGAATCTTCATTCGGTACTAATGAAAACACAACTGCTTCTGGGGCTGGGCTTTCTGAAAAGGCTCCTCCTACCTGTGGGCAAGTGGACACTGCAAGGAAGAGAAAAATGGAGTCTGAAGGTGATCTTGTAAAGGAAGGTTCTAGATGTAGGGGAGACACGCCATCCAAGGAAAGAACACTTGCAAAGGAAAGGTTAAGTGGTGGGGAAGAGGGCTCATTGAAGAAAAGAAAACTCGAAGCTGAAAATGTCCTGGGGGAAAAAGGTTCTGGTGATGAGAAAGGCATTTCAAGGAAAAGAAGGCTGGAACCTGGTGATTTTCCAGAAGACGAGCCTTCTGCTGGAGCTGGCACTCAGAAAAAGAGAAAGACAGAACTTGAGGACGTTCCTGAAAAGCAGAAGGTACGTCCAAAAAGGTACCTTACTTCTTATGCGGTTTGTCACATTGAAATGTGGAGCAGCTGTAAGATAATTCCGGTTTTTACAAAATCTTAGTGACTGTGGCCTTTAAGATAGAGTAGGCTTTTAACTCTTCTTTCTGTTTAGGTGACACTTCTGCTAGTGAGGTCATTTTTTATCTTCTTTTCAAACTCTCAGTTTGATGAGAAACTTGAAAGCTAGCTTTTATAGTTGTGTTGTTCTTAGTGTTTGTTGTTTTTTTTTAAGAGACAAGGGTATACAGTCCCTTTTTTATCAGGTGTTCACCTCCCTTTTTTTGTGTCTGAAGTAATGGAGATTTTCGCTTAAAGTGATAAATTTCAAAGTCATATCCAGATTTACGTTCCTTTCTTAATGCAGTGCCTTAAACTATACAGAGTTGTTTCTAACTTCCTGATTGGGGTAGTTACAGACAGTTTTAGTAACTAGATGCAAGCGTCTGGAGCTTAACAGGGCTATTCTAGAGCAAGGGATCGCAAGTCATTTTTCTGCTGGGAACACCATTTTGTGAAGGAATCTGATGTCTCATATATTTTTCTCCCCTAGAGGTTAATCATGCGCCAAACAGCCGAGGGACGTTTGCTAAAATAGGGAGTAGGGGAAAACAGATCTTCTGCATAATGACTTCCGTGGCTAGTGCATTGCATACTGAGGCTTTTTGATTTCGTTGTATTGTATCCTTCTGTAGGTCAGGTGCCATTTCCGGCTTACTCTCCTCATGTTCTGATGCCTAATCTCGTTCCATCCTCTTTTTTTACAGAACTTGGAAGAGGGGCACAGCTCCACAGTGGCTGCCCACTATAATGAACTTAAGGAAGTTGGTTTGCAGATGCGTAGCCAAAGTCGAATATTTTACCTAAGAAACTTCAATAATTGGATGAAAAGTATCCTCATCGGTAGGACTGGTTTTTGTTTTTATGGTGTGAGTTTTTATTTCAACTGGCGGCTTACATTTTTTGCCCTGGTGGTTAATCATACACCAAACTGCTAGGTCTTTAATTTCTATTTATTCTGTTGTCAAACCTCATTGGCGTAATAGGATTGGAGCTAAAGACTAAAGCTGGGCCTTTGAGATCAATTCTGTTCAGATTGGCTCTGGGTGGACAACATAGGCTGGGCTAAGTTGAGCTAATCAGGCTCAAAAGGCAGTGTGCTTATTTTTATACTGAGAATTCAGGTACCAGGTGGTACTGCATAATTATTTCATTTCATTCTAATAGTTCTGAAGCAGTGGCATAGCCAACAGTAGTTGGATTCAGCGTCCAGGTTCCCTTAAGTGAGGAAGGTGAGCAATGCCATGTTTTTTATCTTGAAGCCTTTCATGACCTGATAAAGGTCATGTGGGTTGACTGGCCATATGAACTTGTTTTTCTTATATGGTGTCTGGGGAGAAATAAAGTTTCCTTTGAGGGTTGGTGAAGACGTTCAACTGTTTGGAGGCAGCCCTTTATCTGTGGAAACTTGCCTCTGAAATTAAATGGAAGTCAGTGCAGAGAGCATGACTCAGAATATAACAGTTGTTGTTTTGTACAGCTAGTACTCAGACTCTTACACGAGTTTGGAGAATTTTAAAAAGCCAGTGTGTTTTGAAGTCATTCACAGTAAGGATTTTATTCGGTCGTCTTGTGTTTAAGCCCACCTCAGGGAAAGTGAGCAAGCTTTCTTGATTGCGTTCTTGATTACATCAAAAGAAAAAAATAAATGTGATAATTGTGGGTACTTTCTACGAGTCTGGATGATAGTTTGCTTCTTTGGAAAGCAAAATTATCCATTCTGAAAAAACAATAATAAATAAAGAGTATAAATAAACTACATTAAGCATACAAATGTCAATTCTGCTGCTGCTACTAAAAAAAAAAAAAAAAAAGTATTAGGAATGGGAATTAGGCCCATTATTTCAAACATACTTTAATATTTTCTGTCTCTCTTTGTTTTTGTTACTCATATGTCACGACAAAAATATCATTTACTTGACTGGCCGTAATCAGTGTCAGCTTCTGTATGTATTTATCTGTTTGTTTGTTTGTTTGTTTACTTGCTAGCTTACTTATTTTAGGTTAATGTTATGGCACTTTTAGCCCATACTTTAAAGGCAGTCGTGGGAACCTCGTCCTAACTTCTTTCCACCTTGTCACATCCTCTCCTCACTGTCCACAGTGATGCTGCAGGTAACTTACCCTTCCTTGGGTATTTTATCTGAAGTGTCATTTCTTCATTGTGCGTTGAGTGAATGTATTTAAGTTCAGCCATATTCTCCACATTGTGTGTTTATTTTTATAACTAGGAAGACAGATAGTTTTGGAAAGGACACCTTAAGGCTTAGCATAAAGTAATCTCTCGGCATCTTCACAGTGTTCCCTTCTGCTTCAGCTGTCCCAGTGGGGTGGTCGCACTGTCTGGGGTCTGTCTTTGGGGTCGTTGTACTCCACACCAGTCTTTCTGTCGTGGTACAGTCAGTGTGGTCTGTGCCAGGCTCGCTCTCTGGCTTTTCCGTTGTCTTCTCAATACTCGTTCTCTGTCATGTTCTCTTTCCGGTTGGTGCTTATACTTTAGTGAATGACTGAGCGTTCGCCTTGATTGGATGAAGATGTCTCTGAATGGTGTTTCATGAGGATTTCTCCTCTCTTACCGTGCGGAAACAAAGATTTGTAATTATTGTTGTTTTCCACTCTTTCAGTCTGATATTTATGTTCTTCAGGGTCATTGTGAAAGTTGAACATGGATCACTCGTGCTCCTGTTGAAGTTACTTTAAGATGTTAGAGGCGGGCCTCCCCGGTGGCAGAGCGGGTGGAGCGCAGTGCTGTGAAGCTGTCCGCAGCCTCTGCAGCGCGGGTTCGATTCCCGGCCGTCCAGGGAGATGCCCACATGGCGCGGCAGACCTCTCCTGTCTCACCCGCTGCTCCCGTCAGCAGTGTATTTTGGTCCGTCTGCCTGTTCTGCTCCCGTCCTGTCTCTGGTGAATCCTCTCACCCTCCCGCCTCTCTGGCCTGTACCCCGGCTCTTGTATAAAAATAAATAAATCTTTAAAAAAGGAAAAAAAAGATGTTAGAGGCGATGAAAAGCAGAAGTATTGATGGAGATTGTTTCAGCAGTCAAATGGAAAGTATTAATCTCAGAGTGATAGATAGGGAGGGAGAGGCGCTCTGGAAGTGAGTATGGCCTCCGGTTTTTGAATGGCTGAGTACCTCAGCTATCGAAGAATATGACTGTGCTTCCAACCGCAACTTGAACCATTTGACTCCTGATATGTGATATTTATATTATATATGTAAATAACTGTGTGTATATAATATTTAAATTGTATATATAAGTAATCGTGTATATAATAATCGTGGTCTGGTAGATTGGGGTGAAGATTCCATTTTCACTTCAGAGTGTTCGGTGTTCTGAGAGTAAAAATAAGAGGTTTGCACGGTTTTTTTGACTCGTGCTCTTATTTCTTTTGGTGGTACGCTTGGCGTCTTTTATGAAAATCAGGTACTCGGATGGTCCCGTGTCCATTTTGATTTACGTAGGTGTACAATGAGCTAGACGCTCAGCGTTGGAATGTGAAAGGTACTGAAAATTATGAACAGTTAACTTTTCTCCTATGGACAAGTGTTGAGTCTTCTTATAAAGGTATTAGAATTTAAGGTGTGTGCCAGTTCACGTTGAATCAAATTTGGAAACCCATGTCAACCGTTTCAAATTCCAGAGACATATTCTTTCATCTTTCCTGCTGCAGGATCAGATAATTTATCTCTTAGTCATATTTTGAAATGTTTAGCAAAAGTCATGATTAATTACATCACTGAATGTGTTAATAGTTTATTTTCTTTTTATCACATGTCAGGCAGAAGTTAGTCACAGGTCACCAGGGTTGCAGTTTATGCTTTAGCAAATAACAGTAAAGCGATCGTTTACCAGGACTGATTTCTCTTTTTCAGGGGAATTTTTAGAAAAGGTGCGACAGAAGAAAAAACGCGATATCACTGTTTTGGACCTGGGCTGTGGTAAAGGTGGAGACTTGCTCAAGTGGAGAAAGGGAAGGATTAACAAGCTTGTTTGTGTTGGTAAGATAAATGATGGCATGGGGAAGAGTAATTTGTGGTCATTTGGGTAGGAGAAAATTGGAAGGATCTCATTATCAACATGACACGCAAAGTAACTCACAACAGGATAATCTGGGGTCTACACTGTAAGGGTTGTTTTTTTTAAGATGAGTTAGGAGCCTTTACTGATGGTGTTATACTATGATTAATGAGCCTGAGATAACTTGTCCTTCTTACCAGGAAGGAAGCGGTCAAAGACAACTAGAGTCCTGTCTAAAAGAGAAACTTGAAAAGGCTTCCGCTGAAGAAAGCGAGGGCATTTTCAACATAAGTGATAACAGTGGATCAAAACACATCCCATAAAGAGGGGAAAATCCCATTGTTCACCCCTGGAGGTTGTTAGGGCCAGCCATTATTTGTCGTTCTGTAATTCCTGCGATAAGGTGGGGGTGGGGATTGAGTACTTACTTATCTTCCCTACCCTGCATGAAAAGTGTTTCAGGGCCGCCCTGGTGGTGCAGGGGGTTAAGCACCCACAGTATGAAGCCATCCCAAGCCTCTGCAGCACGAGTTTGATCCCCGACCGGCCAGGGAGCAGCTCACATGGTGAGGCAGACCTCCCCTGCCTCTCCTGCTGCTCCCCTCAGCGGTGTATTTCAGTCAGTCTGCCTGTTTTGCTCCCCACTCTGTCTCTGGTGAATCCTCTCACCCCCCACCCCTTGTCTCTGGCCTGTACCCCAGCTCTTGCGTGCATAAATAAATAAATCTAGGGAGAAGAGAAGAGAAGGGAAGAGAAGGGAAGAGTTGAGTTTCAGGGGAACCAAATGGTTGCAAAGGGAAGTTCCTCTTTATTAAAAAAAAGAAAATCATAATCCATCATGGCAGACAGAATGTTAGAAAAATCACCATTTCTCCACCCTTGATGAAATAATAGGTCTATGCAGCAGCCATAAAAAGAAGCTAAAGCTGGGCCTCCCTGGTGGCATAGGAGTTAAAGTCTCAGCTCTACCAAGCCATTGCCAGCCACTGTGGTATGAGTTCGATCCCCGGTCAGGGAGCAACCCATATGGCTCAGCAGACCTCTCCTGTCTCGCCCCCTGCTCCCCTCAGCAGCGTGTTTCAGTAGATCTGCCTGTTCTGCTCTTTACTCTTGTCTCTTGTGAATCCTCTCATCCCCTGCACCTCTGGCCTACACCCCAGTTCTTGTATGCATAAATAAATAAAAAAAGAATCTTAAAAAAAAAAGGAGGAGGAGGAGGAGACGCTAAAGCTGTTGTGTGGAAGACTGATAAGAACTTACAACTAAATGAATCAAACACCCTAACTAATACTGGAATGTAGGACAAGCAATCATCACATTCTTTGCTATGCCCGGAGTAGGAGGAAGTATAGAGCATCACCTCCAAAGTATTGCCTAAATTGAGGCTCCTCAGGCGCAAGGGATTAAGACGCAACCTATGAGGCTATCCGCAGCCACTGCGGCACGAGTTCGATTCCCGGCCGGGGAGCTACCCACATGGTACAGCAGACCTCTCCTGACTTGCCCACTGCTCCCCTCAGCTGTGTGTTTCAGTTAGTCTGTGGTGTATTCGCTCACCCCCCACACCTCTGGCCTGTACCTCAGTGCTTGTGTGCATAAATAAATAACTTAAAAAAAAAGTAAGTTGATGCTTCTCAGACTTCTTGGTTGTGTGACCACTGTGCACTTAAAAATATATGAGGACCCCAAAAATCTGTGTGTATGTGGTTATAGCTATTGGTTATAGAACTTAAAACTGAGATGTCTTAATATGCCTTTAATTCATTCAAAAAGAAAAGTTAATGCAGGGCCTCCCTGGTGGCGCAGTGGGTTGAGCACAGCGCTGTGAAGCTGTCGCAGCCTCTGCAACACAGGTTTGATTCCTGGCTGGCCAGGGAGATGCCCACATGGCCCGGCAGACCTTTCCCGTCTTGCCCGCTGCTCCCCTCAGCAGTGTATTTCGGTCCATCTGTCTGTTCTGTTTCACTCTGTCTCTGGTGAACCCTCTCACCCCCCACACCTCTGGCCTGTACCCCAGTTCTTGTATAAAAATAAATAAATCTTAAAAAAAAAAAAAACAGTAAAAAAAAATGTTAATGCAAAGACTGGCATTTTCCAAATGATTTTGCAAATCCCTTTGGCATCTGGAAAGTAGGCGTCAACTGGTGCTCACACCAGTTTGTGCATTCAGTATGTTGTGGTGTTTTGTTTGATCGGTAGTTGTAAAATGTAGAGTTTTAGTTGCAAAATGTAGTCACCTTTGCAGACTGAAGTTGTTCGTCTTGGGATGAACCAAGACCCACTAAGGTGTGTTCCTTAAATTAGCTCCTGTGTGAAATTTGAAACCCTATCCACGAACTTTTCTTGGTCTGTACTTAAGTTGGGTGGGCTGTTGTGTGCCATGAACAAATCTGTTGCACTGCAAGATGTGGTAATAGTGGGAAAGTAACATTCCCTAAAGTTATGCAGACCTTCTTCTGGTTTTCCTTGAAGTCACAGACTCACTTTGTTGATTTTCAAGAATACATACTACCAAGTCTGAGTAACTAACAGGTTGTCTTTCAGCCATTCTTTTCAAGTGCAAATGACTTGATGAAAACAGTGGCCATTTCACCTCAACACAAGCCTGTCTTGTTGTTTTAACTGACTGTCAAACTTCCTTAGGTAGCAGAAATGTTTTTGTTGCTTCCTGCGCATCCCACAGAATATGAAAATGAGTGTTCAGGAACCAAGATTTAGTCAAATAATAATTCTTACTGCTTTATCAAGGACTTTCTTAAGTGAAACTGGCTTTTCTGCTTTGTGGTCAAGAATATATCAAGTGTTATCAGTCCATGATAAGGTGCCAGCATTTTACCCCTCCCTTGCTTTTGCACCATTAGTGCAAATCGCCACACAGGAGAAAAGGCAAATAACATATCACTATGAAAATTGAAACCTGATGTCTGCAAAACTGGGTGTACTGCTGGGTTTTGTAATTCAAGTTGGAATCTAAACTTTCTGCTTTCACTTTGGGTTTTTGTTTTTTGTTTGTTTGTTTGGTTGGTTGGTTGTTTTATTTTTTATTTTTATTTTTTTTAAAGTAAATATATACGTTCTTATTCATTTTTCTCTCAGGTGTAATCCCCATAAAATTCCCACCACCAAGTCACCTGTGCACCATCACCATCGTCTCCTGTGCTTTTCCCTCCCCTGTTTTGTTCCCTCTCCCTCCCCCTCACCTGCTGTATGTCTCCAATTTATGATTTGTCTGCTAGTTTGGTCTTTTTTTTTTTTTTTTTTTTTCTGTCTTTACCCCTTGTTTGCTTTCCCTATAGTCCTCCTACAAGTGAAACCATCCGAGATCTTTCCCTTTTTCCCTCTGATTTACTTCACTGAGCATAATCCCTTCCACCTCCATCCAGGTTGTGCGAATGGCATTGAGCTTATCTTTTTTGATTGCTGAGTAGTATTCCATTGTGTATATATACCACATCTTTCTTGGAACAGTCACCTGTTTGGGGGCATTTGGGTTGTTTCGATATCTTTGCTCTTGTAAATAGTGCTGCAATGGGACACAGGAGTGCAGGTTTCCTTTTGAAAGCTGTGTGGTCCTCCGCACAGCTTCCCATAGTGCTTTAACTTTGAATGAGTATTTAAAAATCACGATAAGACTTTTGCCTACTGAGACAGCTTTTAATGTGTTTGTAAAGACGGTCTTATTTTGAAGGAAATAGAAGATTTTTGCTTGTAGGAAGGCTTGCTAAGTTTCATGCTGAAACTTGCCAGTTGAGATCAAAGTCTAGAATTTTGCCATTTCTGCATTTGCATTTTGTTATCTCCCTGGATATTTGTTGATGGTTACTAACACCTGTCTTCCCCCTTCTAGATATCGCTGATGTTTCTGTCAGACAGTGTCAACAGAGATATGAGGACATGAAAACTCGTTCTCGCGGTAATGAATATATTTTCAATGCAGAATTTATAACTGCCGATTGTTCAAAGGTACAGGGTTTTTGTAAGATTGTTCACTTAATTTTTTCATGTTTTCATTTGGGTAAATGATGTGGTATCCTCTCAACTGGAAAGTCTGTCTCGATACATTTCCTTAAATGACCCACTGGGTAGTGGGGGAAGTCTTTTGCTTGTAATAGTTTGAACTTTTGAAATCACGGGCTGCTTTTTTGTTTGGAGGAGGTGTATTTTCCAGTATTTTGAAATAAAAGTGTTCTGTTCACCTTGTAATGTAATAGGGTAGTTTTCCAACATGCCAGAGTCTGCTTTTTCCCCACCTTCCACCTGTTTCTGAATCTCTAAGCATGACTGAAGTCTGAGAACTACAGGGGAATGGGGAAAGCCCCACCTTGAACTTGATGTTACTTAGTATACTCATCAGCTTACTGAACTATCACAAGGTATCTTTAACCCTATCACAAGGTATCTTTAACCCAATCACAAGGTATCTTTAAACATTTTTGGTTGCGGTTTTGAAAATGAGAAGGAAGAGTGGCTGAGTATAGTGCTAGAAGGCTGGAGAGCTGGGAAAACCATTTTGGGTATTGACAAATGCATCCTACAAGGCCAGCTTTGTGGTTTTCTTAATCCCAAGTTAATGATGTGTCTTTTGACTTTTGACTTGCAAGTAAAACCGAGTAAAAGGATCACCTCCTTGAAAGGTCATATTTGATTGGTGTATTTTTAAGCATGCCTTCTGATTCCCTAGTTTTTAAAGTCACTGTGAAGCCAGATAACAGAATGACTCATTCTGACCTTTCTTGTAGGTACCGAATGACAGAAGGACAGATTCAATGTTAGGGTCTTAATTCTAGACACTAGTTCTCTAGAAAAAAATATGTAAATAAACCGTGTTGCACGTAGCTTCAAGATCTTAACCCATTTTAATCTGTTTCAGGAACTTTTGATTGACAGATATCGAGACCCAGAAATGTGCTTTGACATCTGCAGTTGCCAGTTTGTCTGTCACTACTCATTTGAGACCTATGAGCAGGCTGACATGATGCTCAGAAATGCTTGTGAGAGACTCAGTCCTGGAGGCTATTATATCGGTACCACTCCCAATAGCTTTGAACTGATGTAAGTACTTTAAAGTATAGTGCGGTTTATTAAATACTCAGGATTAAGCAGATTTGAAAGTAGCAAATATCTGTTAGATAGAGTTTCTAAAGTACGCCATGTTGAGCTTACAAGGACTGAACGTCGATAGTGTATTTGCATAGAGACGCAATTGAAACTTTAAGTTCAAAAAGCCAGGTTTACCAGTGAACTTTTAAAACCTCTGACTCAGTTGAAGACTGATGTCATGTGGAGCCAGCGTGTATTGCCCTTGGCCAAACTGCAGAGCAGATACTGAAACACAGAGACTTAACCACCTGTCGTGACAGCAAAACGTTCTTCCAGTCAAATTTTATTAGTGAGATGATGATCTTCTGGTATGCAGCTTCATAAAAAAATGGCTCGGATTCCATGAGAAGGCTAAGCAGCTGTCTCTTTGAGATTGTGGCCGTGGGGATTTTTCATGTGCGTGAACTGATCAAAGTAAGTCTGAGCTAGTAACGGTTTTAATCTTTTCCTTTTGATTTGGGGGACAACCCTTACAGAAGACGCCTTGAAGCTTCAGAAACGGAATCATTTGGAAATGAAATATATACTGTGACATTTCAGAAGAAAGGAGATTATCCATTATTTGGCTGCAAATATGACTTCCACTTGGAAGGTGTTGTGGATGTCCCTGAATTCTTGGTCTATTTTCCTTTGCTAAATGAGTAAGAATGTTATTTAATCTGTTACCATTCTCTTGTTTGTCGTAGGAGGGAAAGCAAAGGAATATTGGGGGGGGGGGGAAGAATATTTCTGCTCATTCCTAACTTTAAATGGGACTTAAAAAGTATTGTAATTTAGAAAGGGGGTAGGGGGGCTTGGGTGGGTTGTGTTGGGGTGGAGGAACTAACTTTAAATCCAGGGTTTGTGCCATAGGTCTCTCAACAGTTTACGTACTTAAGTCTTTTTCATTTCCGGAATTATTTTATCCTGTGGTTAAAAAAAGAAAAAAAAAAAAAAGCCAACCTTTGGCATAAAATACCTGACACTGCAAATGACAAAAGATTCCCCCCCGTTTGGAAGTAACTGCTAGTAACTTTGTCAATAGAAAGTGAGTCTTCATCAGGCAAATGTCCTCCTTTGACAGGGAATTAGTATTAAAAGTTGTCCCATATTTCGCTATAGCTGTGAATTTGCCTGTGTCCCACAGGCAATGTTGAATAAGAGTCCTCATTCAGGAATGTGTTCATTCATGCACCTGAATTCCTAGGAGCCCTGGCAAACCACAGACCTGGGAAAAGTTGGGCTAACTGAGTTTTCCAGACCTGTGAGACTCTTTGGTCTTGGGGATCTCCATGAGATGGGAGCAGAAGAATGCACTTAAACGTAGGCTGCGCGACACTTGACCAAACTTGATTTCCTAAAACAAGTCAAGTTTGTTTTATGAAATGAAAATCCTTTTTTTCCTGAGGAATGGTAGAAGGTTATTTGAATTGTGTCTTAGACAGCTTGTAAATTTATGGGCATAGGATGTTCAGGAGTTCTACAATATATGGAGATTTTATGCAGTAATGTAAGACAGTTCAGTGTAGCATGTGACATGATGCATAACACCCACAAATTATAAACCTAAGCCAACACTTAAGTATTTAAACATCTTTTTTCCCTTTAAAATCAGTAACCTTCTGGGAAATGTTACTGCTCTTCACCTCTGTGATAGAATGAGTGTTGTGGGTGTCTTGTTTGACGTGCTTGGTATGACAGCTTATTGGTTTTTATTTTCCTTTTAACAAGGTTTATAATTTTAGCATGCCCATTATGATAAGGAGTGAAATGAAAGTTTGTTTTTTTGGTCCATAATGCTCAGCCAGCACTCAAAACTGCCTAGTGATGGTGAGTGTATAAAGTCACACGTCCTCACTTAACTATGTAAAGTTTTAAAAAATTATTTACTGAAACAGGTATTCATTTGGTGAAATAGAATCTCAAACCTGTGTAGGGATTTTTAGATGCCCTTTTGTCATTTCGTTGAGAAACTGAACAAACATATGATTAACTTGTATAGGGCAAACCTGCTCACCATTTGAGTTCTTTGTATTTATTGGTGTAACACTTGCCTTTATGTCTGAAGCCTCATTTTGGAGCCTTAGGATAGCAAATGAACTGCCCGGAACAGAAGAGGCTTTTGTCTTGCTCAAGTCTTTCTGAGGAGGGCTGACTCAAATTCCAGGGTATCTCTCCATACATAGGTCTCCTACACGCAAATCCCAGTGGCCCTGGGATGTCTCCCCTCACCCTGTCGCCTCACAGCACTTCCCCTTGTATGCTCTCAGGGGTCCCTCCCCATTCTTCCTCTCCTCATTAGCCTCTGTCGGAAACCATTTCCCCAGACTCCCTCCCTTTGGCAAGCATGGGGAAAACAGAGAAGCCTACCAGGGAGACCCAGGGTAATTGAGGATTTCAGCAGGCCGCGTCTGTGAGGAAATCGTGTTTGTGTTCACATCTGAAGGATGAGTAGGCAATGGCCAGGTGAAGACTGGAAGGAAGAGTGTTTTCGCACCTGGGGGGCAATCTGTGTGTGAAGGCCCTGAAGTGACAGATAGCCTGCTTGGCTAGTTCGAGGTGGTGAAGGAAAATCACTGTGACTGGGACTTAGGGAATCAGGGGTCCACGTGGCTCAAGATGAGGCAGCAAGCGGCCCTTGTTACTCGCGTGCCCGAGAGGCCCTGTGACAGGCTTTGGGATTGCATCCTAAGAGTGCTGGAGAGCCAGTGAAGGGTGTTGCGGCGGGAAATGACTGACTAGGTGTGTAGGTTTGAAAGCTTCATCTGGCTGCAGCTGGAAACTGTGCTGAGGGGGAGCATAAATTTGGAGGCAGAAAAACAAGCCACCGTTAACAGCTGAGGGCTGATGGCGATTGAAGGAGAATGGTGTAAAAAACGGACCTACCTGGACTATGTTGTACAGGTAAATGATGATGTGTTGAATGCAGAGGGTAGAGCGGGGCGGGTAGCTCTCATGGAGAACCCCGAGGTTTCTGGCATGAATCGCTAGGTGGATTTACTGAAATAGCAAAGATTGGCAGGAGAACAAACCAGTGGGTTCAGCCTTAGATGTGGAAAGGAAGAGAAAGCCCGCGACACATCCTGGTGGAGATTTCTAGTAAGCATTGGACTAGATGAGGGACGAAAGAGCTGAGCTCAGAGAGCTGTGGGCATGCTGTGTAAAGCCAGGGAGTGAAAATGAGTAAGGTTCTGAGCCAGACTCTTCAGAACCTTGAGGGGCCAAGCAGCCCCAGGTGAAGGCTAAATTAATAGCGTATCTTGCCGGGGTATGCAAGAGGTGAAACACAGTTTAAGAAGGAAATTGGCAGCTGTCTTCAAAGCCACGGTTAGAGATCAGGTCAAATAGGATGGCATCAGTAGAAGAAAGCCTTCATCATCCTTCCTGACCATTTGACTTTAGTAGGGTTACCTGTGATCCGTGGAGAGTTAACAGAGACATTTCTTCATAGGCCTGGTTACTGGTATGTTACTGCTCATTCATTTTGCGTCATGCTGTATTGAATTTTTAAAGGAGATGGTATTGCTCAGTTAAGCACAAAAGATGTTGCTGTGGTGTGGAAGTAAGCTGTTGAGGAATTACCAGTGTTCTGGAAGCCTTTGCATTAGTTTTTGTTTTGTGTTGTACAGAATGGCAAAGAAGTACAAAATGAAACTAGTCTACAAAAAATCGTTTCTGGAATTCTATGAAGAGAAGATTAAGAACAGCGAAAATAAAATGCTGTTAAAACGAATGCAAGCCCTGGAGGTAAGTCTTGAGAAAAGGTGCAAAAGTTCCAGGTCACAGCAGGACTGTTTGGCTATTTTTCAGGTTCTTTTCAAAGCCAGGTAGACACTAAACATTTATATAAATTACACGAGCTATTTACAGCTGCCCTCTGGATCTTCAGCACCGAGGGCAGAGCTTGGTAGAGCAGCTTACCCTAGCAGGTACTACATAAATACAGGATAGATGGTTGGATGGATGGTCGATGGATAGTGCTGACCTCAGATTCCATTTTCTAGATAGTCCATCTTTCTAGATAGCGCTGTTGGCATATAGGACTGGCTAATTCTCTGTTGGCAAGGCAGGGGTGGGGACAGGGTCGGGGCACCATATTGTATGCACTTCAGAGGATCAGCATCCCTGTCGTCTGCTAGATGCCAGTAGCACCCCTGTCCACCTAGGAGAGAGCCCAGAAATGTCTGAGACAATTGCTAGCTATCCACTGGGGTGCAAGGTCACCCCAAGTTGAGAACCACTTCTTTTCAGTAATGTCCTTTGGTTACGGCAGTAATTTAAAACCTTCCTGGCGAGGGTCCAAGAGAGGCTCGTGCCATGCATAATTCTGTTCTGTGGTGACGGTCCAGCAAGATGCCAGTCTGTTCATGCTGGGACCTGCTTTAACTCCTGGACTCCTCTGTGCTTCCCCTTTTGCCGCGGTGAAGGGCACCTATACAAGCTTTAAACTCTGCACAGCCATTGATTATGGTTTTTTGGTTTGTTTGTTTGTTTTTATGTCTTGACCCCTTTGTTACTGATCAGCAGACTCTTAGTAATGAGATGCTCACTGAACTTCTTAATAGAATTTGTGTAATTTAGACTTTTTTAAAATACTCCTATTTAGCCTCGTAATTACCCCCATGAAGTAACACAGCAGCCATTCCTCACACTTTCAAATGGGCGTTATGAAGTTAAGAGGAGATAAATGACTTGTTCAAGGTCACGTGGCTGTCAACTTGCAGATTTTTCTTCCGTTTTTATAGGTGGCGTTCACATAAAAGTCCTTTTGGGTCCAACACCCCACCCCCATCCCTCAGTGGACGCGACCTCCTTAAGTGTTCAAATTGAGTTTTGCAACCAGCAATCACTAAAATGTTACAGTCTTTATTGGTTGTATTCTCGTGTTTTAGAATTAGAAATGTTTGTGTGTGTTTTATAGGAGAAGAGGCTCACTCTTGTTTGTTTCTAGGAAAAAGGGAAAGCTAGAGATAGCGTAGCTCCTTAAATTGCCACAGGTGCACACCATTCATACATCATTGTTACCTGGCAGTGCTTTGCATGTAAAGTGATCAGTTGGTAAGATGTGGTTTCTTCAAGGAACTCGAGGTACACTGAGGAGCCGAGCATGCGAGCAAACCAGTACAGTGTGAAAACTACAGTAAAGAAGGAATTCTGCAGTGGGGGTATGAAAGGGCCCTTGGAGAAGAAAGTTAGGCAGTGGGAGTGAAGGCAGAGAAACATGAGAGTGGGGTGATTGAGGAAATCTACTAAACTTTCAGCATTTCTTTAGCACAACAGCTCTCCTGTGTTCCTTCTCCCCCTTCGTCCGGCTTTGAGGATGTGGAGGGACGATGAGACCGGAGGTGGAATGAGCTATCAGGGATGCTGTTGCTTTAGTCCACGTCAGATATTGAAATGGACCCACTCTGTCATGTTTGCTTAAAAAAGCGTTTTTTTGTAAAGCTGTCAGACAGCAGCTGGCAGAGAGTTGCAGCAAGAAAACCAGGAAAACAAAACCGCATGGTCTGCTCTTGTGGTGCTGTGAAACAGAGGGAAAGGAGAATGGAAAGACTGGCACTATAGTTATAAAGTCCCGACACCTGTGTATTTCTGAGAGAGAGAGAGAGAGAGAGAGAGAGAGAGAGAGAGAGAGAGAGAGAGAGAGTGTGTGTGTGTGTGTGTGTGTGTGTGTGTGTGTGTGTTCGTTCTCACCAGGGAACAGGTCTGGCAAAGTTACTGCCTTAGGCGGAGATACTTACCAGGGTATGTCTATTTTAGCAAGTTTTATTAAAAACAAATCAGTTTTGTGGCTTTACAGTCTTAGATTGCTTGGTGTTTTAAAGTGATCGGTAGAGGAGAGGAGCCTGATGTCCGGTGATAGACAGATAATGAAATGACGGAGCCCTGCCCTGGCCGGTTGACAAGCAGAGGTACAACAGGGTAGTTTGGCAGCCATTCATTGGCGGTAGAGTTTTGAAGCTTTGCGATTGTGATGACCCCACAAAGACTGAGATTGAAGGTTTAGAACAAACTCAGTGATAGGTAGTAGTAAGTGATGTTCTGTATATCCCTTGCGATCGGTTATGGTAACAACATGGACGTCCAAATCACTAATTGTGCTTTACTGTGAGGTCTTTCTTGAGATGATGGGCGGGGGGCAGGGGGGCGGGGGGTGGGATAGGTGATAAGATACCTTTCTTGGGTCATTTTCTTAAAACCTCACCAGGCAGACCTGCACTTCAAGTGGATCCTTGCTAGCTGTTCTGTTGTAATAAGACAAGGAAAGAAGTTATAATGAGTATATAACCTTGAAACAGGGCACTAGGGGTCCTGCAGCAGATCAGAAGGACAGTGCCTGGTGGATGACAGGTCACTGCCCGGGTTCTTCACCCGTGCACACAATTGCAAGGCCACTGCGGCTCAGGGAACAACAGTGGGGTTTATTTAACAAATGCGGGAAACAGAGTTTTCGGAAGCCCTAAACAAAAAGCCGCTCACCCAAGAGGTCGCTGTCCACCAACGTGGGCCTGGACCTCATGGCAGCCAGCGCACAGTGGGCCAGGACTCAACTCACCGCAGCCAGAGGCGCTCATATGAGATGACGCCGCAGCAGCCCACAGCCATAGTCTGAGGTCGGGCTGATGGACGTCACCAGACGCTGGGCCAGACAAGCCATGGAGGCAGCCGCACTAACAGGCGGTGTCAGACAACTAACACCTCCAGAGGTGACCCAACACTGAGTGCTGTTCACCCGTCAAGAGTGCTGGACAGCACCAGCCAATAGTGCTGGTCAGCACTGGTCACCAGGAGGCAGCGATGTCAGCAACACCGTCTCAGCAGCTCTTTGTGAGGTGTTGAGCCACACCCAGAACAAGTAGCTCTTTGAGATACCAAGCCCTGAGGCCTCTGGTGCTCCTTTCAGGGGATGTCCGAGGAAGGGCAGTGGCCCCCTGGGCAGCGAAGAGCTCTCTGGCTTCTCTTTTTCCTCCAGAGGCCGGCTGCTGGATGCTTTCTTCTTCAGAGGTCAGGAACAGAGTCCTTCTGTGAAAGTCTGAGTGTCTCTCCTGAGGCCAGGAACCGAGAGTCCTCGTCAAGCACAGAGAGAGAGACAGTGATGATCCAAGTCCCAAGCTGGCTCCTGCCCCTGCCTTATCTCCTCCTTCAGAATGCCCCGTCTACAAGTCTGATGAGACCATTTTCAGCCCTGGGGCTGATTGGACTGTTTACCAGTCAGCTCATAGCTCACACCAGATTGGTCCATTCCACGATCCAGGCACCAAATCCATGGGCCTCTCTACTGCTGTAGCTGGAGGGAGCCTTGGTGCTGGAGCTGGCCCGTGGGGCCTCGTGCTCCTCCCTAAAGCCCTGAACCGGGGACTGCATGCTCAGGGGGTCGAAGCTGCCACCCGCCGTCACTGCCGGCCTTGGCCTGCCACCTGTGCCCCAGTGGGGCCTCTGGTGGTGGGTGCTAAAATGCCCACCTGCACTGCCCACAAGCAGCTTCTCAGGCCAAGTGCAGAGCCCCGAGGAGGGGAGGGGAACCCTGACTCCACCTTTGTAGGGTAGAAGGTATTTTAAATTTATTATTTTCTGCCATACATTATGTTTTGATACATGTGTATTCCAGAGCACTGTGCTTTGGAACATAGAGATAATACTTAAAATGGATTGCAAATAGTGCCTGAGGTCATTGGAAGAAGTCTTTGGCCAAAACATGTTTGTGACTCTGGGGTGGGTGTGTGTGTGTGTGTGTGTGTGTGTGTGTGTGTGTGTGTGTGTCTGTGTGTGTGTCTGTGTGTGTGTTCCTTCAGATTCTTGTGGAAAACTGGACATTGCCTGTATTTTGGATGCTGGGTTTTTTCTTCATGTTCTTCAGCTCATTTGGTTAAACTCTATTAACTGGGTGTTTCATTTCTATTATTTCTAATTGCTGCTCGTCTTTTCCATGACTGTTAAATCACCGTCGTGTTGAAATTAACATGTAACCTACCTTCGGCTTTGTGTGGTAATACACAATTTCCTTGATGGGCCATCAGGAAGAGATGAGTGTTTGCTGGTAACTGGTGGGGATGAATGATAGAATTGGGCCCAGCTCTAAATATGCTGTGATGATCAAAATTGATGCCAGCAGCAGCTTTGTTGTCACCCATTTTGTTTTCCTATTTCAGAAGTGTGTATACTTTGTATTCCTGTAGCAATATTTGGGGATTATTGACTTAGTATGTGTCAGTGATTTTTGTATGTTTAAATTGTTAAATAATAAATTTCGATGAAATATCTTTAGATAGGAATTTTGTTTGCCTCCTTAGCCATATCCTACACATGAGAATTCCAGACTTGCCTCTGAGAAGGTGGATGACTATGAACATGTGGCAAAGTACATGAAGAACACTCAAGTAAAGTTACCCTTGGTAAGTGTTCATTTTTAAAAAGCATATTTTAATGAAAATGGGGGCAACATTCCATACATGCTGTCTGGAAACTTGGGAGATTATTTCAGTGGTTTACTGGTTCACTTTGTTCCAAATCAGATACATGTTAGTCTGTTTCCCTAAGTTAGGATGACTTTGTATTGCTACAGACTGTAGAAGAAAGTGTACTTAATGTGACCTGAGGGTGGGGGCAGTTAAGGTTGGGGGAGAAGTACTAGTCTTGGTTTCAGAGTTTGCTTGCTCTCCCATTATATCTTCACCTAGGCACTACTGACTTCCAGTGTCCCTTGGATCAAATTCAGCGCCTGGTGAACCTGGGTGGGGAAAGGTTACGTCTTCATTTGCGCTGGCTTCTACATGGAAGCTCTCAGTTTCTTTAACTTTGAATGCCAGCCCACCACTGTGACGTAGTCCTCAAGAGATTTTGCATAAGACATCTCTGGGGACAGTTTAGGCTATTGTTTACACTCATCGCTTCTTCAAAATTATGCTAATTACTGGAATTTCCACCAGGTCTCGTTAGTCAGGGTATTGCTGTATGTGTCTATTACTGTATCGAAATGGTTTCAGATCTTTTACAACTTTCAAGTATATTTAATTTCTCTTGTATGACTTAGAACTTTGTAACTCCTTGGTAAAACACAAAAATCTTATTTCCTCCAGCAGTACTGTTTGATGTTTGAAGCAAGATAGGACTTTTAATTTTTTCATTTTGCAAGTTAAAAATAAAAATGGATGCTTTTCCCAGTCGCACACACACACAGGACAGGAACACATGACTTCACACAAATTTACTGATCGCATGAAAATCGGTGGACTAATAAAACATTTGGCAAAAGTGCTAAGGAGATGGCATGAAAGGTGAATCTCACTGCTTTCTTTTACATGCTCAGATCAGTATGACATTCACAGTATTTTTAAAACATCTGTAGTGAAGTGAGGGATGCTTGGGCAGCTCCATTGTTGAAACATAAGTATGTTTGTACTTGCGTGTTCAATCTAAAATTTTCTTTCTTTCTTCTTAATTTTAGGGAACCTTAAGTAAATCAGAATGGGAAGCTACCAGTGAGTATATCTCTTCAGTGCAGATTTATTGCTATTTTCAAAAAGTGATCAGTAAAATCTGAAATGAGAAATTTTCTAACAGGTTAAGGCGTGTGTGCACGTGTGTGTGTGTGTGTGCGTGTGCGTGTGTGTGTGTTTTCATATTTTCACATAGCTGCCCCATTCTTGCACTGTTGCTTAGGACCAAGAGGAAGATATATGCAGGGTGTTGCCTAATGTAAACTTTCACAAGCATGCTCAGATGCTTTTCTGCCTACTCGTTACCACATAACCATCTGTATCGGTTGTCTTTACCTCAGCTGCCTATTGGACATTTCGGCTTGTAGAACACTGCCATGTATTTTATTTGATTCTGGTCACTGCGGTGTGGTCAGTGAAGGCACGATAAGTAATAGAACCTTGAGTGAAGCGTAGTGAGCAGGGTATTTTAGAGGACTGGGGACGGGCATCATCCAGGGACATTCTGAAGCGAGGCCCCTGTCTCTGAAAGGGAACTCCAAGGCCTGGTGGATCTGTGAACTCCCATGGTTCTTCAACAGAAGTCACTGTCCAGAGCCTCACTCTATCATGTTGTGTGGTTGCCCTGAAGACTTAGAAGGTAGTTCCCACCGTTCGTTTAAATGTCTGTTGATTATGTTGAAGGCACAGGTGGTCAGAGAGAATCCATTCCATAGACGTTTGAGCGTTGCTGTACGTTAACGGTCTGCGAAAGGGTGTTGGGGGCGCAAAAACGAGTGCGCGAGTTACTAGAGCTGTCTTGCAGAAGTGTGCTGTGTAATGCACACGTCTGCACTAATGCACAATTAAGTGCACTACAAGGCAAGCTGTTTTAAGGAAAGGAGGAGCGATTAATGAATTGCAGTGCTGATGACTGGATCACCTTGCCTGTTTTTCGTCTATCTGATCTACCTGCTGCAGTGCCAGCCATATTTCATTTCTCCTCAGAGAAATTGGAAACTAGTAGATAAGGGGCATGACCAAAGTAGACTTTGAAATGGCTGGTGGTGTACTCCTATGCTGGTTGGGTTGGAAGAGTAGAGAGCCTCGAGGACTGGGAGGCTGTTAGGTGATCTGTGTTGTTCAGCTGTCTGTCCCTCGTTGAGAAATGAACTCAAGGAGTGAAGACTCGGGGCCTGTTACCCTGACTTGCTAGTTGAATGCCCTGGTGCATGCCCGGAACATCTGTGTGATGTTTCGATGATTTGTCATCTTTGCGGGTGCTTCTGACCATAAAAATCTATCTGTATCTCGTTTGAAGACATAACGTGTTTGAACTAGAGTGTGATTCAGAATGAGGAGCCACGATGCTTTAGATGTCTTTTTGAGTCAAAGCAGGAAGCCTTGTTTAAGGAGCATGCTCTTGGGGCTGGCTGCATGCAGGAATATCGCTGTTGGGCCAGATAAATCAAACCCTCCAGCACTACAGTTGGATAAGTGGGTGAATGTTGGTGTGCATGTTATGCATGTTCCTTTTAATTCTTAGCGGTAGGTTTTTGTTTTCCTTTCCTTAGAGAAAACTGAGTAACGCTGTCATTAGTACTCGTAGTGGTGTAGTTGTTATACCTGTCTACCTCACACCAGGTAAAAAGAAGTTAGTCGTGCACTTTTTTTTAGTTTTGATATTTCTTTGCTTCCTTAACTCCACTTTTCAAGATTTTGAGAGCTGTCGAATT